CTTAATACTTTATTTAGGAATGTATTCTCTATATTCAAATTTTCTATGTCCACTTAAAAAATAAAAATAAACATATTACATAGTATAAAACCGTACAGTGAGTGGAACTTAGCGTTCAGGTTTTACTCAAAGACATAAGAAACCCAACCTTGACTGTGGATGTCATTCTGCGTAAGAAGTGCTCCATTAAAATGTGGTGTTGAGTGACTTGTTCAAAAACATATTATTCATCAACTATTCTATAAAGAGGCCTCAGCCCACATCAGTACAGATAGAGAGTGATGATAGCAGCACATTACTACAGTGTCTTGTAGTTCCCTTGATGTGTTTTTACTCACAGGTAAAACTCAAGGAGCAGTTTTATTACTTCTGCAGTCAAGATTCGTTTGTGAAAATGCGACATCCCTTACATATAAACTGAATGGCGCACCCTGCTCTGTTAGGTTTAGGTCAACTGACACAAAGAAGAGGGACAAACACAAAGTCTCAGTCTACTCCTGAAGGGAAACAACCAGTTCACAGTGTCGATTGAGACCATGCAAGAAGGCTGAGGGCAGGAAGGATTGGTTTCCTGAATGATGTGTGCCTGTGGCGCATTCCTGCCCGGCATTGTGAATGCATCAACATAAATTCAGGCAAGGAATAAAAGCTGTGTCACTGTGCTGAGGCGGCATTGTGTTACTGCTGGTTTAAAATGTGTTACAACAAAAGCATTGACAGGTTGTTGCCTTTGATCTGCATAGCCTCGCTGCTCTGTGCCTCAGCCAAATGATGGGCGGAGATGATAGCGTAAAAAATTACACTTCTGATGTGAACACATAGATTCAAAGCTGTGGACATGTGAATGGACAGACAAGTGGAACAGTCTAATGATCCTCAGCCTCCAAATCCAGGATAATACGGGACAATATGCGTGTGCAGCATGCACACACAAATCCACTACATTAAAAAGTCAGGAGAAAATTCACTCAAGATTTGGTTCTTCTCATGCATGCACTGCAGTGGCTTGAGAAGACTTCAGGTATCTTCAATTATGCAGCACTGTGCACTGCTTGTCAGCATCAAAGACTCTATACTCTCTTTTGCATTCAGGGAGTAAATCTGCCCTTCATGTCTCCATGTCTTCATGTCACATTCAATCCTCAAAATCTGTTGCTACTGTATCCTTACAGTAGCATGACTGAGTCTCTCAACAAAGGTCTTCATATGTAAATTACATCATGTGCATTTTCATTTCATCTTCAGTCCTCAAGAGAGTCACTTCCACAGCTGGCACACAAATGTTTCTTTTTTTTTTTTCTTCTCTGGTTTGAAGGAAAAATGTAGCACATTCCATTCCCTCTTCCAAATGTGGAATTGTGACTTCAACAAGCAAGCCTCCAATTGAGGTTTCCGTCCACGAGAAGCGCAATCACTTATTTGGTAGTAGAACCCTGTTTCCTACTCTGCTCCAAACCACAGGAATGCTGTGTTTGCTTAAAAAAGGTTTGAAACTGAACAGTGGAAAACAATTGAAATGCTTTAAGTTTTTTACATTTTGGTTGTTTAGATGTGCATGTTACACATTTTGGATTCAACGTGGAAACTTTTTAGCAGTCCGGATGGGAAATATAATGAAAAAGGGATGAGAAGAGTAGGGTTTATCACGAGTTTTATACAACTTTCAGCGTGCTGCTGTGTGTCTCAGATCAGAAAAGGAAGCATTCAATTAAATAAATTTTTGGGGGAGGAGTACCATTTCACTTCCTCGTTTACTCGAGCAGATAGGGACATTGTATCAGCACTGCAATAACTGTCTGGATTAAAGGCCAATAAGTCCAAATGGCTGTCTTGGTGACTTTTGGGAATGAATAAAATACCATACTGTACAACAACACTCTAAATCTTATGGCAGTTTTATTGTATAATGGTCTGCATTTGCATTTGTGTTGCATAAACCTTTACAACTGCACAGTGAATCTGTAATTTGTCCTTACAATCTTTCCAACTTATAGTAGTAATAGAGCGAGAAATGTTCATAAAAACAAAAACAGTGACAGGACATGAGCACCATTAACGGTTCCATATTGTGCTTCTTAGCAGCAAGTTTAATCTCATGGGTTCCCAGGATGTGTCTTTCAGTTTTTCTACTCAAAATACTACAGAGAAAGTTCATTTTACCATAGCTATACAACTTCTTGTTTTAGTTCTGTTCTGAACGGACTGTTTAAGTGTCTGTAGCTTCCCTTCAGGAAGAATACTGTCTCTGCGTTTGTGATAGGCAGTGCCAAGCAAAGCAGCTGACCGCACAGCAACTGACACAGACATGAATGAGTGTATGAGACCAGGACTTTCTATTGCCTCTAGCTATTTCTCTGAGCATTCATTTAACATGAAAATATCACTAATTTCACAGCACAGCTCCTATTTTTAACTTGTGGTGACTGTGTCAGATAACATTGTGGTTATAAAATCAGTAGTTTAGTGGTGCAGAACATCGGCTTAAAAATAGCTCCAAAGTGACTGCTAGTGAACATGTAGACTTAATGGACTGTGTTTTAGTCATTATTTCATAACAACTTCTGACAACAGGAACATCCATCCATCCATTATCTATACTCTGCTTAATCCTCACTAGGGTTGCGGGGGGGATGGAGCCTATCCAGCCAACTTAGGGCGAAGGCAGGGGACACCCTGGACAGGTCACCAGTCCATTGCAGGGCCATAGTTACCGATTAACCTCAACATGTTTTTGGACTGTGTGGGAGGAAGCCGGAGAACCCGGAGAGAACCCACGCTGCACGGGGAGAACATGCAAACTCCACGCAGAAAGATTCCCAGTGCCCCCACCGGGATGTGAACCAGCAACCTTCTTGCTGCGAGGCAACAGGGCTTACCAACTGCACCACCTTGCAGCCGACAACAGGAACAGAACTGTATAAATTAAAACTGCTTTTTTGGGGAATTCAGCTGTATTTAACCACACAATATGTGCGCACAGAGAGCAGGAGAGAAGCAGGCAGATGCAAACATTGGTCGAGCTTATGGGGCACAGAAACGCAACAGGCTACGTAGTAACCCATCCAATCCTTGTTTACTGATTTCAAATCTAACAGTTTCCACCACCTTTGAATGTCCCTCAGCTTTACAATTTCTAAAAAGCTCTGACCAGTGGATGTAAGATCAAAGCTTATGGTAACGTTAGCCCCACTAACGCTAAGGATTTTCCTGTTGTTGTGGTGGCACTGGCATCAGTAATAAAAGTATTCCACCAAGTCTTTAGTTCCTAAGACACTAGGAGCGCATGAAGACTCGTGTGTTCACTTCAGCCAGTGGCAGAACAATTGGTGTGTTTTGCTCATGGGTATCGGAAGTACCTCTAAAAGTAAGGAAATCTGGTGCTTTTTCTGAAGGGCCCCCCTGAAAGCAGCAGGTACAGAGAGGACAGGATTATATAAAGTTTTAACTCTATAACTATTAGTTCCTCCGTTCAAATGTAGCAACTCAGTAAAATTCTTCCTGGCCTGTAAAGCTGGGAGGCGATCTAGTTGTGGGGGGTGGGGGGCCGCAAGGGATGACAGAAGTAAATGTCTGCATATCTTAACAGCTTTTACTGTACACCTCCAAGTTTTTAACAACCACAAAACACAATAAAATATGATTCTCACCATGTGAGACCTTTAAAACAGCTGTATGAGTTAGGAAGTGAGATTTAAAGCAGTGATAGTGTTCGCTAACCTGATGCTGAATTGAGCCTGAATAGTTACACCTAAACTGGCCGACCTGAGAGGCCTGAATGGAACTGAACCACTGGGGACATTATCTGAATGAAATAAGATAGCTAGTTTCATATGTTGCAGAGATTGCGAAGCCGCCCTGAGCAAATTTGTGATTTTGGCCTATATCTAAATAGAAGTGACTTGATTTCACATGAAACATTCAAGTTGTAAATGACAATAGTTAGGGTAAACTAGAGCAAGCTTCCTTGCCAGTGTTACATTTCTGATAAATTACATACACTGTCACCTAATACAGTACAATAATAGCTAACCAGTGGTAAAAATGTATTATTATCTGTATAAAGGCGAACTGTCTGACTTTATATTAGGCTAATAATGTTTTCCTATTTTATGTCAGGAATGTATATATAAAATAATGATAGTAAAGTGAAGTTATAAATATTTTTAGGCCCCTCAATTGTAAATTAAGCTGCAAAACTGTTTAAAAAAAAAAAAGAAAAAGAAAGAAAGCCTAAAGTAGTTTCTATATGTCATCTCATATTTACATTGCAGTTTAAATTTGAGAGTGCAGTTATGCATAACTGGCACGTTTGCATTGATCACAGTGACTCATGATGTAGGATTTTCCCTGGGGGCATCTTCTCTGTGTCATGAGGGAAAATGCCCATTTTCAAGATTTCACAATTAGTTTGATAATACCAAAGCTGTGGTCTGTCATGATTTAATTACCCTCTAAACTTGTTCACTCAAGCAGAGTGTTGTGTATACATTATATTGCTATCTATATATTTACATTGCTTTTGTTAAGTGGAGTATCTTTTCCCTGCTTACCCTGCCTTTGATTTTATTAAAGTTTGACTGGTGACCTGTCAGAAAGCTACTACAAAGATGAACATCTTACATTATCTGTCATTTTAATTTCATCTGTAGCCTGCTGGCATGAAAAAGTTCCCAGCACTTCACACCTAATACTTCCCAACACCTCATAGGTCCAAGGATAAAACGCCTCCCATGGGCGGCTGCGATGCCATTGGTCAACCCTTCTAAGTCCCGCCTCTTTTCTCACAGAGATCCGCGCTGTCATTGGTCGACGCGCCCGATCGTCACCGTGCGTAAACGGTGGGCGTCGGCGGCGACTTTTCCGGTTTGCTCGTGATTGGTCGGTTGTGGCCGTTGACGTCACGGTCCTGCCAGCTGATCGGAGTGAGAAGCCGGTTTGAAGAGAGGAGTTGGACCGGAGAGAGAGACCGGGGAGGAACCTGGAGGAGCAGCGCGGAGCACGGGGTGGGACCGGACCACCGGATACACAGATTGGACCGTGTTTTTTTGGGTGGTGCCTTTTTTTTGGTACAATTTCATATTTTGTTTTTTTCAGAGGTTTAAACGTTAACACGGGACGCAGAAAGGACGGTGCTGTCGGGGGGTGAACTTGCGGGGCTTCGCGTCTCGTCGAAACCTCTGGAACTGTCAGAAAAAAAAATTGATTGAGAGTTAAGGTGTGGCTGAGGGTTTTCTGTGAGGCTTCTGCGCTGAAAAAATGTCACTAAACCGACTGTTTGTGTTCCGAGGCTCCTACATCTACCGTGGCTTCACCGATTTTGTCCAGTCATTTTCATTAAGGAAGATATTACATAACAAATGTATTGCCATCTTGATGCGCGCACCTTTTTTTTTTTTTCCTTCTTTCCCCCCCTTGCCTAAATCTCCCCCCGCAGTAGATTAATTGGACTATTGCGCAGTTGAGAAGTAGTAATTTCCACTCGCTTGCCAGGTCGTTTTGGTTTCATAAGTCTGTGAAATGTAACGGACGTGGCAACTTTACAGTAGCCAGCCCCGCTGAATGCCACAGGCAAACTGGGCGTGGGGTGGAGGTGGAGGGGGGGGGAAAGAGAAACGGTCCGAACAGAGTGTAATAATCCTCAAATCTGCCCCAAGCACGGCACAAATTGCGCATATTTGTCACGGTGTGTCCGCACTGACAAGCGCCTCGGTGGAGCCGCCGGATTGACCCGAACCAAAGTAAGTGCGACTGTCAAATACATTTTTGCAAACTTTTCTAGCGGAGGTGACATTTAAAGGCTTACAGGAGAGGGCGTGCAGGAGGGTTACATTCAACGCGTTTCATCCCTTGTTTTTTTTTTGTTTTGTTTCAGTACAAATTGAGCACTCAAGGTTGGTGTGTCGGTCGATCGAGGCCTTGTATAAAAATCTTTATTTTGGCACAGAATATACTGGGATGGAGCGGGTGTGTCTCCACAGGGGGAAACGTTTGGTCGCTCAATGAATCTAAATCCAGTTACAGGAAAAGAAGGATATGAGTTGCTCTGTATTACAGTAGTGCTGCTTGACTTGTCAAAGAATATCGAGGAGTCATTCCTCACTCTTCTGATGCCTTTATGGCACAATAACTCGATCATAATTGAGTGCACAGGACTGGCTGACCCTGTGTAGTCTAATTAAGATAAGCTTTAAGTCGAGAGGAAAGCAGATAGAGTGAATTCCTCAAGGCCCCACCCTTTGCAGCGCAACATGGATGTGGAGAGTTGCCCCCACCTCTTCTCTCTCTCCCTCCCTCTCTCCCCCTCCGCGTCATTCATTTCCCCTTTCAAGCTTGTCTTATGCTGTTTTTTCCCCCCTCAGTATCTCCAGGTGCCCACAGTAGATCTTCTTGCCTTATAACCAACTTCAGATCGTGGCATCAGGATCTTCCTCCAGGACTCTGCAGAAGGGGCCTCACAGATGGAGGTAAGGTGGGCTTGTATTTCGGTTAACCTGTGGATTTCTGTGGGTTTTTATCTCTCTAAAGTTTTCACATATGCCTTTTTTTTTTATTATTGCTGCTCTGTGCGACCCATTGCTCGCTTTTATCCCCTCATCCCTGCTTTTTGCACTGTGTCCATCAACCTGTTGCAAGTTTCGACAGGGTACGCACTCTGCCCCCCCATTTTCTGTGAATTCTAGTAGCACAGATTATGTAATCCTAAAGGCAGTGCTCACCGCGTTCCTCCTTGGGCTTATGCAATCCAAGTTTAAAAATTTCTCCAAAAAAAAACAAAAAACAAAGGCAAGGGGTTAAAATGCAGTAACTCATCTAAAGTCAGGTTCCAAAGCTCAAATTCTCAAGTGGAAAACTGCACTGCTTATAATCCAGTAAGGACTGGTTGCTGAGCTGCGTTCTGTTTAGCAGCCAGTTGCTTTTTCCACCTGCGTCCCGTCCTCGTCAGCTAAATGACAGCTCGGGCCTTGTCGTCTCTGATCTTTGTAAGGCATCAAAGCTCCTGATGGATCACTTGACCTTGTGCAAATCATGGCCACTTGCCCTGCCCGACGACTTGCCTTTTTTCCTCCCACTTTGTAGCTCCAGAGGATTCATTAGGAGGATCCTTTTGCTGCCTATTTTACAAGGACCTGCCCCATACCAACAACCTTACATAGTCAAATTGCAAATGTAACAATGTCCCCCCCCCTTTTTCTCTTTTTCATTCGTCTCCTTCTTCCGTTTCTACGTGATGCCTCACAGAAAATGCGCTTTAGAGGGTGGGGATTCTCTGGAAATGCTTGTTAGTTGCACAGGGCTCACATCAGCTCCCCCCTCCTCGGCCTACCTCTTCCTCAAGGGTACCCAGCCTGCTGTAATTATCCTCTCTTTGCCTATGAATGGTGAATTATACATGATGCTGCAGACCAGGCCGGAGTCCGGTGCCACCGGACACATCTGGATTATCTGGTTGCCACTATTTGAACGTCTAGGCTGCATTTTAGCTGTAATAGTCCCAGCACATGTCACACCCACACGCCGCGCAGGAAGTGCTGCGCTGGAGCTAGTCTCACATATAGGAGCGTGAAAATGTATTTACAAGGCTTCATTGACTTAAGTTACAACGACACATTGTGAGTGTTTAAAGGCTGGTATGCAAAAAGGATGTGACATTGTGGTTATTGTTAGAACTTGTCGTATTATTCTCAGAAGGCTGCATAAAGTCTGGTCCTGGTTAGAAGTGCACTTTTTTTTTTAAAGTAAAACAAAAGAATTTGATTTACAATCTCAGCAGCCAATTCAAGAGTAATTACTGATTATCTGTGAAGAATGAAAGGACTTCATGAATCCTCAATTGTTGTTCAGATGACAACCTTATTCACCGCTACTCTGCTGTTACAGTGCACCTCTTTGCATCATTAACAAGTTATTTCCTTATAAATCCTCTTCTGCCCTCTTTCTCTCATTCTCCCCTTTGCCATCTTGTGTGACTGTTTGCTTTTGTCTGGGCTCTGATTGTTTAGCCACATTGGATTGACCTATGAATGTGTGTATTAGTGGTTCGCCGGCACAGTCGTTATCTCTGTGTGGCTAGATTTGATTAATACAGCCGTCCAGCAGTGACGTCTGTTGCGCCACTCCCCAGACACAGACGCACAGAAAGGACATGTAAGAGGGGAGAAAGATTGGATCTGATGTTTGTGCAAGCGATTTTGTGCCCTATTATCTACAGTCAAATGTCAAGTCAACCTGAAAGTCATTATTCTGAGCAGAGATGAATGCATGTATCTTTGGCCGTGTTTGGATATTTACTATATTTTATGAAAATATGTGTATATTTGTGGTTCAGCAAATTGGGATCCCTGACAAACAGTCCTTTTTGCTTAACTTTCCAGAGTACCTGCAGACTGATCTGGAACTGTTTTGCCCCGTCACTGCTGCTGACATTGATCAGAACCATAGAAATAATAAAAATGTGTCATTTGATGAGTCACTCCTCCTCTGCTAACTTAAGCTTATAAATGGCCAGACCATCAAGCGACTTTGTGTAAGTGAGCAGGACTGAACATTGACTGTTCCTGAAGGCCAATCAAAGAGGGGAGGATATGCGGTGGAAATGCGGTAGCTGCAGTGAGGTTGCACATTTTTATGGCCACACCCAGACAGCCTCAGAAGGCTAACTTTGACTAGTTCAAGCTAATTTTTTTCACAGGATAAATGTTGCATCTCATATCCATCTGCAGTTGTAAGAGGTTAACAAGTGGATATTGTAAGTGGGTTGACAGAATGTGCGTCTGGGGTGGTTAAGACATCCAAAGCTCCATGGCAGATGTTGTCATGTTGTACGTAGGTGTATGTGTATGTATGGACGGATGGAGGGACAGATGTACTGTCTGTCTGTGCGTGCATGTGCACACATGCACAGGACAAGGATGTGTGGGAGTGTGCAGCATGATGAAATCTGACATATAGTAGTTGGTGATGCAGCGCTAACAGTATTCCAACCATGTCCCAGACTATATTGCGACTGCCTCTTATGGAGAGAGATTGTCAGCACTCTACAGTGTGGGCTTTACCAGCCCCATGCTCATATGTATAGCACATGTCGCAGTGTGGTGCATACGCGCCTTCCACTGGGACTGTTCTCTTTCGAAACGAAAATGTAAAACTAACAGCAAATGAATGCTTTTATCTGCTAGATACAGAAACACGCACCAGTTTGCTTGTGTAATCCTGGCCAGGTTTGTCTGAGGCATGGCCTCAAATTTGTGTACTCACTGAATTGGATAGACTGGGCAGAAAGATGATTCCCTTGGGTATTCACCTCTGATGTGTGCATGTGTGTACACATTGTGAATTCTTGCACAAAGGGTATCAAGGTTTAGTTTTTCCAGTTTTGTGTAGGTGACCTAGTTAAAGAATAGGACTATTGTGCTTTGTAGGATTTGCACACATATACATAGAGGCAGATATAGTAGCCGGAGGGAACAGATATACTGAGAAAGAAACCACAGCAGCCCATATGCAAGGAAAGGGAGCCAAAGGAAACGTCAGTGTAGAGTTGGGTCAGGCCTTTATCATTGAGTTTTGATTGGTGAGGCTTTATAAGGTCTAGCCTCAGTGCAAGCATAGGCTGAGCTAAACTAAAGCTGTGTTGAGATAATTTTAGGCCCAAGCAATGCAGTAGCACGTTCAGCTTTGGGCTGGTCTCTGCAGGGCCAGCAGTAAGAAGCGGTGGGCCTCTCAGCAGACCGGCTGGAATGTGGACCATATGTAGCAGGCATCCCAGGAATGTAACTCGGCCTCGCTGAACTGACCAACCTAAAGACACAGTGAGCAGGAGCAGGATGAGGAGGACAAAATGAAGGTAGCGCGAGGAGGATGGAAACGAAAGCTCGCGAGTCAGAAGATGAGAACTCGAGGAAGCGCTCAAACAGATGGAGAGCAATGGACAGACTCAAAAAATGCAAAGTACCACAAATGGGTAGATGCATGCTCCAAAAAATGTGGTACAAATGATTTATTAGGATGAAGTCTACAAAGTCATCTTCATCGGGATACTGCAGACAGAAAAATTTGTGGTTTGTATAAAATGGCTTCTCTTACATTAAATCAGTGCCGTGATGTCTTTCCTTATGCACTATTCTGTTTAAGAAGGAGTGGAAACAATTAGCTGATTAACAGGAAGTTGAACTGCAACAATTCTAATAATCACAATTTGTATAAATTACTTAAATGAGGAAAGACAATCTAATATTTCCGGGTTTGGGGTTATTAAATGAAGCTATTTGTAGCTCTTGTCATTTTTTATATAATTTCAAATTGGATAACTTGGGTGTTTTGTATTAGTACCACATATTTTCTTTGTATTTCATAAATTCATCAGTTAATTACTAAATGATTGACAGAATAATTAATAATTAAAATAATTTGCAGTCACAGCCCTTAAGTTTTAATTGTGTGACTGCCCTACTTTTGAAGCACCCGGTCACTCCTTTGCAGCACACCTCATTAATCCATGTCTCATCTGCTGTGAGTAAAGAAAGAAGTGTTTTGGGAGCTTGTGCTCTCTCTGCACTGTTCCGATTTTTCACTTGACATGTAGATGCTGTGATGAGCTGACCGGTGACCAAGTGAAGTGAAAATGGAAGGCCGTTCAGTTTGTTAAAAGTGTTAACATGCCAGGATGCAAACGAGTGAAAAAAGACAGTTTAGTCTCAAGCTGCTTGGTTTTTGTTTGAGTAATTGTGTCAGTAATTACAGTTTAGTGGCGAGGCAGCCTACCTCATTAGTGCAGTCTTCATTTAAGACTTAAAGCTGCTGGATACCGACGTCATGTCATATCTGATGTATTCAGTAAACACCTGTACAGTGTAATAAAGGGATCGGTGACTTCTGTTGATAAAATGCTGATGTGTGTTATTATGTGAGTTCAGAGCTTTGGCTCTGGAGGTAAATGGAGTAGAGCTGGTTTGTTCTTTGTTGGGTGTCACACCACAGTGTTCTTCCAGCTCACTAACTCAGGGTGAATGTCTCTTTCTAGTCTCTGTTAGCTTAGCACGCTGTGCTCTTAGGCCATCTGGGTACAGCTGGGGCCAGAATGGCAGGAAACACACTTGCACACAGATACACACACTTATACAAACATTCTCTTTTTTTTATTTTTTTCTATTCTAACATACCCCAGCCATGCCCCCTGCACACAGACACGCACGCACACACTGTGTTCATTAGAGTGTGTTGAGCCTCTGGTTGAATGGCAGTTGACCTCCACTTGCTGCATTTCTTTTTCGTTGACTAACCGGCCTTTTCAATCTAATGAGAAATTTAGCTCATAAAACCAGGAACCGATAAACGAACCCACCCGCATTAGTGTACGGTAACCCATTTATGAGTGCCGAGCTGCAGCTGGATGCGAAACATGAGACAATTGGGTTTGATCTCGTGAAAAAATCTCCATGCAGATGGAAAAGGCAGAGTTCACAGGTTAAGTCAAAAAATGAAAATGTAGCTGAGAGCGCATTATGCAGTAGAGTCAGCCTATCAGAAGGAAATAATTTTGATTGTATAAAGGACTTAAAATAGAGCAGCCCTGGTGAATGTTTGGCCTTTTCTCATTATTTCTCTTCAACCTTGCCCAGGGTAGATGGACAGAAACCCAGAATCAAAAGATGAGTGAATATTGGACCTGCATCTATCAGGTGACCAGAAACAAGACTCCAAATGAAAGTTCATGTCGCTGTGTATTAGCTGAACATGTGCGTAGGCGGGTGTTAGCCAACAAGTGCACCGTATCAATTAAAAAGAAAAAGTTAAAAAAATCGTAAATTATAAGCGAAAAGATCGAGCTGCTATTTTACAAAGCAGATACTGTATATTCAATTATTGTGTTTTTTGTTTTCTCTATATTTTACTTGCTTAACTGAACCAGAAATGAAATCCATCACAACCCAGATGGTGGTCCAGTTGGGCTAAAAAAAATCATCTGCACTCGAAACCATGTGTAAATACAGATAAAGTTACTTTTTTTAAAAACGTTCTTTTCTTTTAATCTTTTTAATGACAGATCCTATCCAACTCAGTGTTTATTGCCTTCAACTGTTCACCTTTTTCATTTTTGGTATTTTTGCCTGTTATTGAATAACTACAGTAGAGATGGAAAAGAGAGCAGGGGAATGGTATGCAAAAAAGGCTTCAGACTCTGCTTCTGAGGGAATTTTCACCATACGTTATGCACAATAACCACGTGGACACGGTTGAGCTTTTTTCAACTAGTTGTATACTACTATAATAAGTGCAGACCATTTACTATATTGTGTTGTGTAAGGTGTTGTCTTACAACTCAAACTAATATTCGGTCTCCAGTATGTTTCATGTTTTCCTAAAATGAATCAATCAGTCAATGGTGGGATGCAAGTCCGACCATTCAGCTTGACACAGATGCAAATAGCCAACCAGGACTGTGCAGTTTAAAAGTAAATCCAGCATTAAGAAGATGATCGTGAAAGAGATGGTAAATGCTTCAGTCCTCTGTGCCTCTTTCTGCTTTTCTGGAGGGAGGATGGTCGGGGCGAAGAGATGATACTGAGGAGATTCTCTGGATTCATACCATGCATGGGCAGCTGCCACCTCTTATTCATTTGCCCTACAGGCATTTCCTGTCTTTCGGCACGCTAGCTAAAATGCTAGTTTGAGGGGGAGGGTGACAAAGGATATACGTATGTACAGAGAGAGAGAGAGGAAGGATGAATTCATGGGGACTACGGGGGCATATAACCGGAGCAAGGGATGGACACAAACAGATACATAGGCAGAAACAATGTACTCTTTGACTCTTCTTCCCAGTGGTAGGAAGGGAGATGACAGCCGGGGGAAGCGCACAAATCTTTTCATTATGCTGGGCCCCTTTATCCAGTGTTCACACCCCTACTGTCTCCCTTCTCTTTCACTCCTGCTTAGTTATATTTTTCCAAATTGATCCTCTGTGTGCATGTGTGCAGAAAATCTGACGCTCCGTGTCCTTCGCAGGAAGCCTGGATCGGAAACTCACAAATTTGAAGCCACACTGCGTCATTGTCTCATCTGTGGGAACATCAGGACCAGGTTGTCTGCTTCTCATATCATGACATCACTGAGGTAGATGCTCCTCCGCCTTTTCCTGCCCTTTGCATACTGTTCCTATGCATTCCTGACTCCACATGCTCGGTATTAAATCCTGTTAGATGCTCAGCAGGGCTTCGGTGGAAGGGCCTTTTCCTCTTCCTCTTTCCCACCTGCTGACTTCCCGCCAGTTGACATCACCTCTTCCTTAGGCAAACACCGTTCGCAAGCTTTGCTCGCCAGATGAAAGAGGGTGGCAAAATTTTACACCAGTGCAGATAATGACTACGGTGTAATTGCTGTCAGGTTGTTGTAGCTGGATGCATATTTTAGGCTGTTGAGTCACTTGTTTGTGCTGTGTTTCATTAAAGCCCCGCCTTTACTGCTGTCTTCCTCCATGACCCCCCCAAACCCACTAGCTTTGGCCCCCAAATTTACAGAAAACCTCTCATTATCACACTTTGGGAGGTTAATGGATGTTTCCTTCAAGAGCGACAGCTGAATCTGAAAAAAAAAAAAACCCTCTATGAGGAACACATGAGCTTTTTCCGGGGGTTAAGTCCACGTTTAAAGGATGCCGACTTTCTCACACTGGAAGTTGTTCCTCCATTTTCAACTGTAACCGGTTTCATTTTGAATCATTAATTCATATCCAGATAAACAGCAGCCGTAGGCACAAATAGAGATGATACAATATAGATGCGCAGGGCTCAAACGCACACTCTCTGCTCCCTCATTTTCTGTCAGCAGTGTCAAGTGACATTTCATAATTCACACTGTGCGTGTTGTGAGAAAACACGCTGGTCATGCTTCTATAAAACAAGGTAGACAAACCCCCACCCCTCCTCCCCCGTCACTATGCATGCATGCATTTCCTCAGTCACATGCCTCATGCGTACACATTATCGCTTTCACAATAATCAGTTCCAGTCACTTCCAGCTCCTGCTCCCCTCTTTCGTGGTCATTCGGAGAAGCCAGCCACACGAATGATGAACCTGTTCCGACAAAGCGCTAGTGTTCGCTTGCATCTCCACCAGAATTACGCTTCAGCAATATCTGTGTGTGTGTGTGTGTGCATGTTTATGTCTTGAAATTCATTCCCTTTCTTCTCACTAATCCTATTCAAAGCTGTAGGAGGGAAGCACTGGCTAATATATTGATCCACCGTTCACTTGAAAGCAATTTGTCGAGACCGTGGGAGAAGGATTAGGGGAGTTGGGTGTGCACATATGATCAAGTGCAGGCCAGTCGAAACTGAGACAGTGACATACCGCACTATCGGTGTGTGCACTTCATCCAACTGGGTGTGCACATACGTTGTCATGCATGCTGGAGAATGCAAAGACTCTTAAGTACTTTTTGTGCAGTTAGTTTTGCCTGTTGTTCAAATAGAGCTTCTAAAATCTCTGAGCAGTACAATTACAAATTATGTTTGAATGCAAATGAGGCAGTTGACTATATGGATTCTAGTCACATTGATAGTCTTTATGTAATATGTGACGTATAAGAATGCAGACACAAAGGAAGCATTTATACAGTATATTGAGCAATGGCTACTTTCCATAGATATTAATTTGCGGCATAGATTCAAGTTCTCAAACAAATGCCATTAAACACATATTTTGGATCATTTTTGTAGCTTACGTTGATATTTAATAATAGGCAATATGTGTTAACTTTTTCTTATTTTCTTCTCCTAGACCTGTTATATTCGAGATAAGTTTGATATGCGACAAAACAGACTTGGATGTGTGCAAGTGTTAAGCTGGTACTAAACTAATTATTCTGGGGTGTGGCGTAGGTTGCTGTAATAAAGCTAACATTAGCTGTTCTGCCAAGCCTGTGGCTTTCAAGGGAAAATATTTTAGATTACTGCGATACCAAAAAAAAAGATGAGGGCTTGATGGTGCTTGTGAAATGGATATTGTTGTTGCATTTGGAGGACAGATAAGAGGCTTGCTAGAATCTGTTGCAAAGCTGCTCTCATCCTCATAACACAGCAAGCACATGT